TAGGTTTGAAAAAAAAAACGGTAACATAATCAATTTTCCTTCCTCCTTGCAGCGCGCCCAGACACGCCCTTAATTAACCAAAAAAAATTACATCTTTATTAATAACAAATTAATTATTAAACAAAAATATTAAATATAAATTAAGTAAACGTGCATTGCACGTTGCTTGCAACTAGTGATTATATAAATAGCATAATTGTGTTATCTCTTACAAGAAATATCACTGAAAAGAAAAGAAGAAAAGTCTCCAAAATGAGAATCCAGTCACGCTTTACGTGGAGCAGCACATATCCCAAACATATACATATCCAATAGCAGCACATATCCCAAACATATACATATCCAATAGCAGCACATATCCGATAGAAAAAAGCTGTAAAGCTGCAGGCACACGATTCTTGACCAGAACCTATTTGCCTGTTTGGCCTTTTTTATCTTCCCAAAATACAAACGTGCTAAGTATATTTTCTGTACTCATAGACTGCTTCTACCGCGACAAAAAGAAAACCAATTTTTTCCACTAGGGTAAAGCCATTTGTAATCGGACGTGTACACGATCCCACTGCCACCCTCACGATGAGGGGACCCGAGGTAAATAAAATAATGAGTGAGCCCCTCCCATTGTGAGTGGGGGGCGTGAGGTCGGGTACACTGGCTTGCCCATATATGTGTAGCAAAACCTTTTTAATGTGAATAGATAAGGAGAGAAACTACATGTACAGAAACAGAAAACTTGCGAGCCACCCTCACATGAAAGGGTGTAAGAATTCATTCTTCTGTACAAATGGAACTTTTCATAGATAAGATAACATATTCCACTCTATTGGAGGAGGGGGTCATTATTACAATGCGACCTGCCAATGTCCATCATCGGTACACTCTACGCCTCTCTTTTCAATCACCTCCGCCATATCCATCCTCTTTCCAAACCCCTCTCTTTCTCTAAAACCCCCTAAGAGCCTGTTTGGTAGGGATTTTTGGGGGAAGAATTGATTTTTGAATAGTGATATGATGGGAAATGTGTGGTTAAAAAAGAAAAAAAAATTATTGATGTGATGAAAAATATTATTTTATTGAAACATGTGTGATTGAAANTTGAAAAATGTGTGATTGAAAATGAGAATTGATTTACCGTAGAAAATCAAAATCCATACAAACAGGCCCTAAATCTTCGTCTATAATCAACCCCAGAACTAAAATCCGCAGTTCTTCAATTGTAATTGTTAAGCCTGCAATCAAGGCTCCGGCTATGAGATTCTACAATCTTGTCCCAGTCAATGCCGTTGCTTCGGAGGACGGTGGTTGGTCAAATGGTGCAAGAGCTTCTCCAGTTGAAGATGAAGGTATCGTGTAAGTTCTATACATTGAAAAATGGATTGTTATAAACATATCTGGCTTCATTCTTTTGATGAATTTTTGGATTTGAAGTAGATGAAGTTTCACTAGAAGTCCTTTAGGCCATGGAGCGTTTTATCATTATAGGTAATACTTTCTCAAAGCGTGTTTCCAACTGCTGGCAACTTGCTTTGGGAGGAGATGATGGAGTTTTGATTTGTATGCAATTTAAGTCTAGTGCAGAATTTATTAATCATATGGAAGAGTAGCCATTTGCTTCTTCTACAACACTTGAAAATTTTAGTTAATTTTATTGGTGTGATTCTCCGTTTTCGTAAAATGCGCATCCCTCTTACTTTGCTTTTTGATTGTCCACACCTGGTGGATCCATCAACAATTTGGCTGGATTTTTTGCAATGGGTTTCTCTGTTATTAGGACTCGCGTTTATCAATCCGGGCATTGGATTTTCTATGTTACATTTTAAGAATGTTTTCTATTTTATTTACATTTCATGCCATCACACGTTTTCTACAGATCCACATTACCATGTGCATCAGCAATCATCACTTTTTCAAAGTTTTGTGTAGATACCTCATGGTTCCTGTTTCTGTAATTGTGAAATTTAAATGCTCGTATCAAATATAGAGTACATTATCTGTGTTATCCACTCATGCACGTGGTTGGTGGTTATATTTCACCTTGATTTTTCTATTTCACGTGCTTGTAGATTCATCATCGGGCAATGGATATTACCTTCTCTCCACACGGATAAAATATTATTCCTCAAGAGGAGATCTTTACCTCCTTTATCAGAATTAGCAAGACCAGAGGAGAAACTTGCTGGTGTTCGAATTGATGGAAAATGCAATTGCCGAAGTCGCATGTGAGTAAGAGAAAGTTCTTCTCATATTTTATTTTCTTTCAATACCTTTTTTTGCCTCATGGTCATATACTCTGATTTGTGTCAATTGAGTCATTGATGCCAATTGATGTATCTCCATGTTTTACTATGGACACCAATAGGTGAATTTTATAATTGTCCCTTCAATTGTTTTGTTATGACTATTAAAACTTGGAGTTTCATTTTAAAATGTCAACTTTATTAAGAGGAGTAATCAAAACCCTTATATGTTGGTCTATATTTCGATAACTGGCTGATGTAGAAATTATCCTTTTAACATGCCCGTAAGATGGTCGCTCGTTTGCGCATATCAATCTTGAAATCCGCGTGCTTGTATTTTGAGGCTTTATTTGATCTACTTGTTCGTGACTTTGATACCATATTAAGACCAAGATTCTATCTTAAACGATCAACTTTATTAAGAGAAGTAGTCCAAACTCTTATACGTTGGTGTATATTTCGGTAATTAGTTGATGTGAAATTTATCCCTTATCATGAACCAACAATATGATCGACTTGGGACTTTGCAAGTTGTGTTTTTTGTTTTTTATGACCTTATAAAAAAATGTCGCCCTTTTATTTTCAGGTCATACTATACATCCACCAGTTAATGGATGATTGTACTCTAGGCCCAGAGAAGGAGATACACGGTCTTCCAGATGGTGCTAAAATTAATTTTGTTACCTGGTAAGACCTAAGATTTGAGGTCTCTGTGTCTTATTTCATAGGAACCCCTTTGACATTTCATGCACGTTGATATTTGCAATAGTATACTTGGAATAAATACTTAAAGTTGGAGAAGATTAGGGAATCCAATGCCAAAAAATACTATATTATAGGACTTTTCATTATTAATGACGTATTAGCATGTAACCTTTGTTCATTTTCTTAGCATCCAGGCAACAATTTTTTCTTATCTTTGGTAGATAAATAGGAAAAAGTTCTGACATAAAACCAATTGCTTGAAAGTGTCATCCTCATAAATATTAGAAGGTGGCGAGTTAATGTGGTTAGTCGAGGTCTCGTCTACATTTACATGATATTCTGTTTGATTGGTTATTGTGTATTAAGTTTCGTTCTTCAAGATATTAATGTAAAACTACTTCAACTAGGTTTCTAGACAACAAATTGATAAGCTTTATTACATGTTTGTTAGGAAGGATTAAATAGCTCTGGATTGCACTAAGGTAGAAAAAGAAGCTACATGTTGTTCATTACATTGTTTAATCCTATCCATCATGTTTACCAAACATGTACTAAAAGGATGAAGTTATCTCGGCGTAAACTTCATTCTCTCTATTTCATTTTTTCTGATTTGTTGGTGTGGTTTTTACTCTGTTAGCATTAACCATTTATTCCACTTACAGTAAATAAATCTGATAAAACTCTTAATGAAATGCGAATCTTTTGCCACTTAAGTAATAATTACAAATACATAATTATTAAAATTTTATACATTTCAAACATATTGGGACGATATATACTGTCTCTCACGGCGCAGCGCACTGCAATAGGTTGCTCTGGTGTTTTCTGCTTGTTAATTTTGGAAAGAATCTCAATGTTGAAGGATCTTAACGAATATTATTCTCAAATGTAATTTCTCATTATTTTCATGTTTGTAGGGCATTTACTTAATCGATAAAATTTGAATGTCTAGATAAGATATCATTTTATTTGTCTTTCAACTAGGCCATGATTGCACTTTTTTAACTCTTCGTTTTTAGAAGGAAGTTTTTGTATGGGCCTTACATCTTATTGAACACAATGAAAACACAGCAAGGAATGCTCATGAATGCAGATATATAATTAGTGTAGAGAAAGTGCATTTCCTAATAAAGTAGATGTACGAACACAAGATTTCCCTTGCTTCAATGTTTACCTTGTGGTTTAGCGCTGATTCTATATGACAGAAAATGTTGAGCTATAAGTACTTATTTGCTGCAAATTATCTTGATCATTCTATAACTCATCTTTTTGTCCTACTAGGTCAAATGATGGTCTGCACCTATCCTTTAGTGTTCGAATTGATGAGGTACGTTGCTTCATTTTGTTATCTTGCTGCCAGTTGTATAATGATATGTAACATTACTATAGCTAGCTTGGTGTCAATATGATACCATGTTGATTCACCTTAAATTTCTGACTTCACTTGCTTGAATGAACATGCTTCATCTACGACCTTAGGTCAAGACACATGTTTTTACTCGATGCAAGTGCACTACTTTTAAGAATTTTATTTCATGATTTCCTGAGATAATTTTATTTCTCGAAATTGCAATGACCTCTAGCTTTTATCTTAAACAGGAGGATGGTAGACTGGTAGTGCTAGCATGCTAAGGGTGTGGGTTGCGAATGTGGAAAACTGGCTTTTTGGACGTGTTTGGTGTCATCTACAGCAAAGAGTCACTGCATCATACGTTGTACTTGGATTTTGGTTATTTTACTTTACATTTATAAGTGAGCAGCATCTCCTGCATGTGTAACTTTTTTTGCGAAAAACAAAATGGAAAAGAAAAGAAAAGTATAATGTTACCAACGGGATCTGCTAAGTTGTCGACTAAAGTTGCTTCTTCATAGTTCTAGCTATTGCACCACTTCTTTTGGTTGCACCATTCATGCCTTTTGAATTGCCGCCAATAAGATTCTTTTAGAAGGTTTCAATTCCATCACTTAGAGATACGATATGTTTGTTAAGTCAGACATTATTAAAGAAGGAAAATAAGTTAGAATCTTGTCTATTTTACTATGTGCCCATAGGTATACTGTATAGATCAGAACGTATTTTCACTTTCACCCAATCCATCTTAGGTTTTTTTTGTTTTTGTTTTTTCCTGAATCAGTTACTGATATTTGATAAATAGTTAATATTGCACTTTTTCAAGTCACCTTGTGCTGTTGTAAGTACTCAACAATTGACACTTTCTTGCTTTCGTACTCTCTCACCCTGATAAAATATAATGGCTTATGGAGAGGATGCGATCGAGTTTATGCCAAAAAAATTGCAATACTTGAAGCCATTTTTTTTTTCCATCTTTAAATTACATTTAACATAGCATGTGCAAATGCTCTACAAGTATTTGTACTATGGTACTTTTGATGCGTTGAAATGAATTTTTTGAGAAGGTACAATTCAAACCTTCTCGTCGTTTGCTATGGATACTTGTACCCTCCTAAAAATCAAAAGGGTTACTACCCAAATTAGACCTTTCACCACCTTAACCATTCCAATTGTAGCAGTTATGTAGTACAATCACCAATCAGCCACCCCAACACTTATCATAAGCTTCCTTTTGATCTCCGCCACAACCACTATTGGCTCCACCTCATCCCTCAGCCTCCATCACCACATGCCGCCAAAGGTAAATGCCATAGCCACCTTTTCAACCCACTTCTCCTCCCTTGAACATCCGAAAACCGTATCATCCACCACCGGCTTCACCACATTCCTCGACCAAAACAGCATCGTCTCATGCAGTCCCAAGAAGAAAATCACTCTGCATAAAAGACTTCTCTTTTCGCCAAATTGTCCGTCTATTCTGGCAGCTACACTCCTTTCAATCCCCAAACCAACACAAACTTGTAACGTCCCCACGCTGAGTACAGACCACACTGGCTCGAGCGATGGCCTTAAAAAATGTGAATGTACCTGTCAAGCCATGTGTAAGAGCTGCAACACTAAGAAGAGAAATCAACAAATTGAGAATGGTTGGCTTGGTGTATAAGAAAAGAGTGCATAAAGGGAAATAGGCTTTGTTGTGGGATTGTTATCCGAGACAGCTAAAAGATAGCTCGCGGTGGAGAGTCGAGCAAGGAGGAGAAATGATAGCGGAAGGAGGAGGCTGAGGAGGGTGGTGGTGAGGATTTGAAAAGCATCCCTCACCGTGGGCCAACCCCAATTTTTCTTCACAATTTGTTGACAACGTGTTTCTGATTTTGAGCCCATTTAATTCTTCAATAGAAACTGTATACAAACAGCATAATATTGGCCTATATATATATATATATAGAGTGGTTGCCACGACTTAACTCGGTTGACATTGGGTTTGTGCATGCACATCACAACACATTCATTTCTATGGGAAGTCATCCAATGATTTATACGAAAAAAAAAAAACTATGTTTCTTGTCGTCAAATGGGTTGAGGATAGCACATTGTTAGCGTAAAACTAAAAGGAATAAAGTAATGAGCTCGTACAATTAGAGAGATGTAAAGGCGGGTCGATTGGGACGGCTAGGCTCTTGCTTGATATGGCTTTTGAGTCATGTATTTTATCTTAGAAGATCAATTTTGTTAACAATATTAGCAACCCGAACACTTATATGTTGACAAATATTTAAAATGCCACTGAAAGATTATGACTTGTTTGAGAACTTCAATCCGAATCTAACCATTCATTTAGGCTATAGACAGGTCAGCTTTTTGGTTTTGAGTTTTTTGAGCTATAATATCGTGCTGTATTTTGAGGGTTTATTTAAAAATATTCCACCTCATTAAGTGAAAGAAACTACTGCTAAGATGAGAAGGAAGTGTTTTTTCTTTCTTTTTTCAAGAATATATCCAGACTAAGGCCGTTTTTGGTTCCGTTAAAAAAACTGCTTAAAATCTAAGTGAAAGTAAATAATTATTATTTATCAAAAAATTATTCTCCTAAAATATATACGAAAAATTAAGGGCCTGCTGGATGGCCCGAGCAATAGACCGGATGTGCTTTAAAAAAAAAAAACCGGTTCACCCCTATCCAGTAGGGCACACACTCAACCTAATCCAGTATAATTACTGTAATGTAGTCCCTAGAATTTTTTTAAATGTATATAAATTCAAACATATCATTTAACAAAGGAGAGACTCACAAACAATTGGCATATTATACACACACTATAATAACTCCAACAGTCGGTCCATTATTGCAAATGGACACCCCCCACCCACCTCTCTCAACCAACATGTATTGCAAGAGAATTTGGCATGTTTCTAATGGGGAAAATATATGTGTGTATCTATGTATGTAGGAAAAAGCTTAGTTGCGTGTAGTGTGTGTCTTATATTTATTTTATTGTCATTGAGTGAAAAGGAAAAGAGAAGGCAACTTGGTTGGTTTTGTCATCTCTTTGCTTATCCTCTTCCCCTCTCTAATTCTTTAGGTTCGTCTTCTGCAAAACTACAAAGAAAAACCCAAGAAATATAACATGGATGACAGTGGAAATTTGAAGTCCAAGATATCAAAAAAATTAAACTCAGAAGCTCAAGCATCCAAGAAAAGGTAATTTTTTTCAGAGTGTTGAGAAATTGGTAGGTACTAAGATTACATTTATGGTTGTTTTGGTTAGCAAATTAGTTGTTTGTATTCTGAATTACTTAGAATTTTTCTTGAATTCAAGAGGAAAAATTTCTAGATTTTCTCTTTTCTGCTTAAAATTTCTCAGGAAGAATGTAGATCAGAAAATTGTGGTGGAAGTGAAAACGCAAGAAAGTGATAAAAAACAGAGAAGTGAAGGGCCTCCTCCTGATTGTTGGTCTTGGAGAAAATATGGACAAAAACCAATCAAAGGATCTCCATATCCAAGGTTCATTTTCTTCATTTGATTTCATCCTATTACTAACTCGGTCCATTAAGGTCATGATATGATCAAGTACTTTCTGGGGCGTCTATGACCTTACGATCATGATATGATCAAGTGCATTTGGGCTGTCTAAGACCTTACTGTCACTGATCAAGTGCTTTTTGGACCAACTCGAACTGATACAGTGTTTTTTGATCCGCTGGTCTGAGACAGACTATCAATAGGCCAAAAGCTTTTGTCCTTGCACTTAAACATCCCTTTACCCTTACCCAGCAACCAAATTAAGCACTTATTTTTCTTCTTGCTACTTGATTACAGGGGTTACTACAGATGCAGCACATCAAAAGGTTGTACAGCCAAAAAACAAGTGGAAAGATGCATAACAGATGCATCCATACTCATCATTACCTACACATCCAATCATAACCATCCAGGGCCAACTTATCATTCCTCCACCAATCAGAATCAAGAGTTCATTGAACCTTCACTCCCAGAAGTCACAGAGGATGTTCCCGAAATACCAGACCAAGATCAAGAACCAGAAATGAAGGATCAAGAAACCCCATTACCCAGTGATGACCGTTTCCACTATTCCCTTTCTCCTTTCAATTCTGCTCAAGAAATCATTATGAATCAAGAAATGAACCTTTTCACAGAAAATCTGCAAAACCCATATGATTTTGATTCACAAAGAGTGCATATAAATGAAGAGCCCCTTTTATATTCTCATCCAATTAACTTCTCAGCATCTAAATCAGAAGAAAACGACTTCTTTGATGAGCTTGAAGAACTACCCATCTCTTCATTTGCAACAGATTTCATGAGAAGCAGTACTTTATTTGAGGAAAGGATTCTTGTAGACCTTTGTTGAGTCCAGCATTCGCTTTCAATGCTTGCAGTGATAGTTAGAGAAATGTTCTTAGCAGACTAGTTGTTCATATAAATGTAGCTACTATTTTTATTTAGCAAAATTGAGTAGCACTTTGATGCTTATGTAGCATGTTAAGGATTAAGCCTTAATCTCGAGATTAATTTTAATGCACATACTTTCTGCGTATGTTAAAGATTAAGCCTTAATCTCGAGAGCAATTTTAATGCACATACTTTCCGCTTGCAGACGCAGTTTCTATTAAACCTAAGACCAAGATACAAGGTTTCCCAAGCATCTCTCATGTACCAAAAAGGCCAAAACATCCCCTAAAAAGCCCTTAATATTGGAACAGCCTAATACACGCGTTAAATTTTCAATACTTTTAAATAAAGTTGCCCCCAAATGGGTCGAACCCCAGGGTGCCTACAGGCACCTGCAATACCCCGTTAATTCTTTGTTGTTGTTGACGAAATAAGTGTACAATATGGTTGATCTCTAGACACGGGAACGAAAAGGACAAAAGGGTAGTGGTTTCTATCGTCTTTCCCATGACTTGAACTTGATAAAGAAACTGCATGAGATTTTTATTTCATCTTTTCTCTTGGAGTGGGTCGGTTTGATATAATATAACATGAGAAATGCTATTTGAATAGGCTGTTTTAACAGATGGGGTTACAGAATGCTGAGTTGGCAAGATTTTAACCGGCCAATGAAATCTTGCCAGCTCTGTACAACCCGTCTGTTTTTTTACAAGTAGCATTTTTCATATAACGTTGGCAGTTTTCTAGATAGGATCTGTTCTGGTGTCGAAGCTGCCTCCTCAAAAGCAGTAAAATAGCCCTTATGTTTATTGGCACCTTTAACAATTTGTACATTTCCAGTACAAATTGCCAATTTTTAAGGGCTGGAGAATCCCATTTGTGGCAAAAGATTCCAAATCATTTGATTTTTTCTCCTTAGTATCTTATAGATTGCTTTAAGGAATGTTTGGCTTATAATATTTTAACTTATTTCCTTCATTAATGTTATCTACATAGTTCAATCCACCTTGCGAAACACATTATAAAAATGTTTCTTTTATAACATGATGTTTTTATTTCTTTCGTGAAGGTTTAAAAAGCTTTTAGCTCTATCCTCAATTCCACGCATGTATTACCGTGTAGAAAGCATATACATATTTGTATATTATGACACAGAGTGTCCACCTTTTTATCGTACTCGAATTCCAAACTGAAACAAAATAAATGGAACTTCTATTTCTTAAATGTGCTCACATAACAAGACTCGAACTGTCCTGAACTCTTCGTAGTATTAGTGACGAGCATTGTCACTACTATAGAAAAGAGTCACTTTGGTTTTCACTGTTCATAAGCCGTATGGCCATGTTAAGCCAAGCCGAAGTTTTTCAGCCGCGTTCGCTGAGCCATTTCTATATTCTAAACTATCTTTTACCTCTTTTTTGGTCTGATGTTAATTCACTGCAATTTGACTTTTTTGTACTTTATGTTTGCGTGTGAAAATGCGAAAGTAAAATAATAACATGTTTACATTGGTTGAATAAAAAAATATAAGAATAATGTTAAGTAAAAAAATACAATGAACAGTGCCGAATTCTCTCAGTTCAGAACGGAGTGCATCTCTTCGTTCTGAATGGAGAGATGAACGTTGTCACTGTTCCCTCTTTCATTAATTCAATTTTTTTTTTTTGGTCTTTACTTATTCTTGTATGCTACACTACTTTCACACGCAACCATCATTTCGATTTCTCTTTCTTCTCTCTCACAAATTTCCATTTTCCCACACAATCACCCATGCTATGTATTCCACTTCCCCACACAACCAAGACTTTACCTTTCTTCTTTTCTATTTTCTATTTCTATTTGTTGCAGTAGGAGTTACGGAGAAGGACATGACTGAAGATGAGATATATTTTTTCTTCTATTTCCCATTAAGTTCTCCCCTTTTCAAGCAAGAATTCGAAAAAAACTGAACTTTCATTTATTCTTGGCATTCTTGGTAAGGTTTTCAAGTTTCTTGTAGGTAGATTTATTTTGTTTTGTGATGTTTCAAACAATATTTGCTGGAGTCAATATTGTTTATAAACTGGCTGCAAAAGATGGAATGAAGTTGTCCATTTTGGTGGGCTATAGATTTATGTTTGGCACTGGTTTTATGGTTTCGGTTGCCCTCTTGGTTGAAAGGTTGTAATGCATGTTTATTTTGATTTTCAGATTTACAAGAAAGAATATTTAATTTAATCCCACGAAGACTTTGAAAATCTTAAAGCTAAATTGCACACACAAGAAGTTCTTCTGAATCTGAATCTTCAAATTTCTTGATATTTCAGGAAAAAGAAGCCTAAGTTAACATGGATGGTAGTCTTCCAAACGCTTCTTTGTATTCTATTTGGGTAAGTTTTAAATTTTATTAATCTCTTAAATGATTTACTAGATTGGGATATGTTTTTTTGAGATAAAAGATGAACGGTCCATGTTTTGATTTATGGAGAAGTGTACCAAATAAGGACTATCTTTAATGCAGTTGAGATTTATTAACCTCAATATCATTTTAAGTTCTTGAGGTAATGTAATCGATAATATAATCCTTGTGGGAATATCACTATTACAAAATTAATTTTTGGACCATGATTATGGACTTTATTTAATAGTTTATAGAGTAATAATCGGTACAATTTTCTTTTTGCAGAAGATCACTCGGCCAAAATCTTTACTTAAAAAGTATGGCAATGATTTTTGCAACTTTTGCTTCAGCCTTGATCAATCTTATTCCGACATTGAACATATTTTCTTAACATCAAAAATGGATGGACAATCAACATTTGTGATCTCTTCCTTCGGAAGACCTAACCAAGCTTATTGGTGAGCGATGGAGGAGCACTGGCATCCTTGCTGAGGGGAGGGGGGTGGAACTTTGTAGAAGTAAGAGTTTTCTCTTCCATCTTTTTTTGCACTATCTTGCCAGTTATATTTCCACGAAAAACCTTTTCCACATTATTGTAGCTAGATGTTCCTTTATTTTATTGTTCACATATTGAACTGAGATATTGGTCAGCTTGAAGTTTTCGAGCGAGTTATAACATTTATGCACTTATACTATTAGTTGGATTTGAAAAAAATATATCGTTTTATTCAAAGTGTTGAAAGGAAAAAAAAGGGGATCTGGAGAGATGCAGCATGGAAAGAATGGAGTGCTTCTCCATTCTACATGGAGAATTTCTCTCAATGCTGCACGGAGAGATAATGTTTTAATTTTTTTTCTTTTTTAAAAGTGAGTTTGTTTTTACTTTGGTTTTAATTTGTACTGTTCATATGAATAATACATGCATGTTTGTTTTTTAGGAGCGAGTTTTCTTTTAGTGTTCATACTTATAAAAAAATTCTATGTAGCTAATGTTTGACATAAATACTTTTTTTATACCTACGCTATTAAGTAGTGAACTGCATCATGACACGTGCCTTGCACGTGCTTCTCACTAGTAATCAAAAAAGTTCACCTTATAAAACATGTGACTGAACCACAAATCATAGTTGGTGCAGAAAATATAAACTTGCACTTAATAAAATGATTACCAGTACAAAGAAGTGCTTGAAAGATAAAAGCTTCACAATATCTTCAAATCTATTCTACATTTCAAGCCTTGAAGGGATCAAATTAATGGAAATTTGCACTTAACCTGAGTAGTGCAAAACTTGACGATTCCGACTGCATTTTCAGTATTATGACATCAGAAAAGTGGAGTTTCACATAGTATCATTGGTGTAGATGTCAAGCAGCTGCCAGCGGCTGGAGGGCTTTGAGTGGATTAAGGATAACACCATCTATAAGTCCATATTCTTTGGCCTCTTTAGCACTCATGAAGAAATCACGGTCTGTATCTTGGTTAATCTTCTCGAGGCTTTGACCAGTGTGGTAGGCCAAGTAACCATTCAGATTTGCTTTGTGATGCAGCATTTCATTAGCCTGAGTAACATCATGATAATTACCAGTAAGGATCATAAGTAGTAGTGACTTGTTAAGAATTATTCTATAGCATCATCATAACTTTTAACTATTAGCTAACACCATCTCTATTTCTCGCTCCTTCAAATTAACAATTATGGATAGGCGGCAATAGGCAAAGTTAATGTTCCGAATCACAGACAATTTGAGCTATAAACAAGGAGATGTATTTCAATAGGCAAAGTCAATGTTCCGAATCACAGACAATGTGAGCTACAAACACGGAGATGTATTCCCCAACTTTTAGGAGTGTAAGCACATTATTGTTTCTGACGGAGGTAAATAAAAGGAATGAGAATTCACTGAACATGACCACATATGAACTCATACTTCACTTGAAATATAATTTTAAAGTGGTGTTTGGAAAAGGAAAAAAATAAATAAATGAGAGGCAAAATACCATTTTTATCTTAATTACTTGGAAGGTAACTGTCTCAACTTATAAACAGGTTAAACCTACTTGCAAGTAATTCTTTCTTGCATGGTTGGTAAACATAAAAAATTATTTTTTCCCTCATAAGTAAAAGTACAACCAAATAAAGTAGTATCAGAATGAGAAAATATTTCAAATAAATTTGAGCAATGGAATGACTCAAAACACTCTTAATGACATGACAAAATTGTCACTTGTATCTTCTTCTTCCCTATCTTCATCTATATCATCTTAGTCACCTTCTCTTTGCATGAGTAAACCCCTCCTTGCCTACTCTCACCACCCCAAAACCCCTCTCTGGAGTCCCCTCCCCCCAACCACCACCATCCCCTCCCAAACTTTCTGCCACCATCATCATCACCAAGTTTCCCCACCACAGCCGACAAGTCCACCTTTTTCTGCCACCACCAACTCCTTCCCACTTTCCCATGCCACCATTAGCAGCTAACTTTCGATCAACAACTCTTTAACTTTCTAAACAATTCAATAATCAATTAATAATCTAGCAATGAGGATGGTGTGAAAGAGACGGAAAATTGTTAAAAAGAATAAGAGGAATAAGAAAAGATAAAGAATAGGAAGAGGATCATTATAGACATTGAAGGAAGGAAAGAGGAGTGTCATAGCATCTTTCTTTGAGTAAACACAAAGTTCTTGTTTGGATAAATATAAGTTGCTGAAATTATAACGTAACAGAAATGAGTGATGAATAAGGGGTAGTAGTTATGGGTCCTACGAAATGTGTGGTTAAAATTAATGTTTTGACTTTGACAGTTTGACCATTAAATTGTATGGAAATTATAATGTTTCCCAAACATGCTTAAAGAAAGACATTCTATTTTATTACCTTTTCTAGAATAGAATTACAGAGGAAAGAAGATGAAAGGAGGAAAAAAACACGAAAAAGGACAAGGAAAAAAAGCCTTGCCTTTAATATTAATGAAAAACTGAACTTTGTTATTCTTAATACTACAGTATTGCTAGAATGATAATATTTTTTAAATAATAAATCATTAAATTTATTTATGTCGCGGTATAAACATTAACTTAGACAAAATAGTGTTCATGTAGTTTTATTGTATAAAAACAACAAACGTTTAACATCTTATACGTGCAGTTAACCAATAATGCATCTTTATAAAGCATTAACACTTTAAGTGGGAAAAAAAATATTACATAGAAGTACAATCTTTAAATGAAGTCAAAAGACCTCTTAGTCTTCACCTTCGCGTCTTTTCTCTGTTCAGGTAACTTTGAATTTAAAAGCTAAATTTTTTGCCACAATGAAATATATCATTTTCATGCATTAGAAATAAATAATTGTGCACAATGTGAATGCATAAATTAATGATTGGGGAAAAAAAAAGATACCTGAATATCTATATCAGTCTGTCCACCTTGTGCTCCACCAAGAGGCTGATGGATCATTATCCTCGAGTTTGGGAGGCTATACCTTTTTCCTTCAGTAACCATTAGCGAAAGAATTGCATAGAAATTTCAGCAAGTAAAACAACCACCAATGGAATGTTAAACTGCTTAAAGTGAACGAAATAATTATACCTTTAGTACCCGCACTTAGTAGAAAAGCTCCCATGCTGCACATGCATAAGGGTAATAAGTTCAAGCCTAATCGTTAACATCTTTTTGTCAGTTATAAAAACAAGTAGGCATCAGGAAGCCCAAATAAACTATTTATCTAACAACTGCCGACTTAAATGCCTCGGCATGCATATCTTTGAGCATGCTGTATATCAAAGTAAGATGACTAAAACCAAATTGACATATCATAAGAACAAAGAAAAGACAACCTTGCCAATTACTACGATGATATGCAATTTAATTTTACCAGAGATGATATATCTGTAAGATATTTTTAGTATTATAAAATTATAGATGAACTAACGACTGATAACACTTCAAATATTTCATACCAAATCTTAAAGAAAGAATAAGTAGCTTGCCCAACATTAGTTCATTTTATACTCCGTAACTCTTGGAACTATGCTTCTAAGGAAATTTAGCCATATATTATTAAATAAAGAAATAATAGCAGAAACTACACCACACTGTATAAAAATGGCATTGATGTATTTTAACCTGGCCGCTAGTCCAACACATACAGTGGAAACATCAGGTCTAATATGCCTCATTGTGTCAAATATTGCCATACCTACCACATTAATTGGAAGCAAATGAGACAGATGAGTGGTCAAAGCCAGAAAAGATGGAGTACAAAAGGAAAATAGATACATTACCAGCTGTAACTGATCCTCCTGGAGAATTCACATACATGACTATATCCTATTCAATATCACAACACAATCGATATGTAAATAACTCGCACAATGCCTATATTTAATTAAAATAAACTGCATAAATAAGTGTGCACATACTTGCATTCATGTGAAGAAATCTATATATATGCTTAAGATAAATAACAAAGATCAGTCAGATAGTAAGATTTCTCTCTTTTCCATGGGGTGAAAAGCTTAAATGCAAAAGGAAGGGCATTCAGGCTATTATTACCACTATACATTGAAATATAAAATAGCCAGAGAGAATTTGAATCATGTGATTTGAGAGAAAGCCACTCATTGGGAAGTACTAAATAAGGAGTTATCAAATTTGGAAACAAGTCTTAAATTCTTCATACAGCAAAATAGTTGATTTCAGGGTGCCACACAGACTAGCAAATGCCATCGTTTGAAGAGTGTATTAATGCCTCACAAGATGGACCTCCTAAGTCATCACAGCTAAATCACATAATGATTATACTACTATCACAAGACTGGCATTGATTTCATTACTATTACAGGTATAAGATCACTAAAATACCCAAAAATAAAAAAACATGAAGAATATTTGTTCCCATGAAATATTGAGCAAGCACACTATGTGCATGTTTTAGCATGGACTAAAATTTACAACCATTGCAACAATTGAAATAGATTAAACAAATTTGGTACTAAAAAAGATCTCCGCAATTTCACTAATTCACGTAACATTAAATCAGTTGCACATACAATAAAGATTAAGTCAGTGCAAATGTGCAAATTTTCTGTGTATCGGTGTAGCTCAACCAAGCTATGGATAAAAGGTGGGTTATAAGAGGAATTAACTAAATTTATCAACAATAAACATCCTCTCAATAGAAAAAGAAATTAGCAATAACAAGGCCCAAGTAAGCATACCTTAATAGGATCAACAGCATCCAGATAGAGTAACTGAGCCACAATAATGTTTGCCATATCATCATCTACTGCTCCACCACAACGTATTATCCTCTGCAAACAAACATACGAACCATTTCACAACTAGTTAAGCCAACAGTGATTACTAATACTAAGAATTCAATCTGG